GCGCGGCTCGGCTAGGGCTGTGCGGCTCGGCTAGGGCGGCGCGGCTCGGTTCGGGGCGCGCGGCTCGGCTCGGTCTGGGCGGCTCGGTTCGGGTCGCGCGGCTCGGGTTGGATCGGGCGGCTGTAGCAGTCGCGGGGCCGTTCGGGGCCGCTAGGGGCTAGCGCGGGGCCGTTCGGGGCCTCTAGGGGCGAGCGCGGGGCCGTACAGGGCCGTAAGGGGCGGGCACGGGGCCGTTCGGGGCCTCTAGAGGCGAGCGCGGGGCCGTGAGGGGCGGGCGCGGGGCCGTTCGGGGCCGTAAGGGGCGAGCGCGGGGCCGATCGGGGCCGCTAGGGGCTAGCGCGGGGCCGTTCGGGGCCTCTAGGGGCGAGCGCGGGGCCGTAAAGGGCCGTAAGGGGCGAGCGCGGGGCCGTAAGGGGCCTCTAGGGGCGAGCGCGGGGCCGTACAGGGCCGTAAGGGGCGGGCGCGGGGCCGTTCGGGGCCGCTAGGAGCGAGCGCGGGGCCGTTCGGGGCCGTAAGGGGCGGCGCGCGGGTCACTAGGGGGGGGATCGCGGGTCGCGGGGCCTTAGGGGGCCGTGAAAAACGAGGCGCCCTAGGGCGCAGGTAGGTAGGTAGGTAGGTAGGTAGTGGTGGGCCCTAAAAAAAACGGTCCTAGCGAAGGACCTGCTCTGAAACCATGTCAGAAAGAACAAACAAGAATGATGAACTAACAGTCCAAAACAGTACAAGTACCTAACCCTAGAATTGTGTACCCCTTATAGGCTAACCCACTGTAGCCTACACAAGCATAACATATATAATGTTTGACATTAGGTACTGTGCGAGCTGGCATGCGATGTAGGAGAGATCCGGCCAGCACGTGACGGCGGCGAATAGAAGACATCCTAGATGCTGCTGATATAGCCGATGGTCGTCGGTGGAGAGCGGCGTGGAGTCGGGTTCATGAGTTGGAGGAGGCGTGCGAAAGGGAGTGGTGAGATTGATGGGGGCGATTGTGAATTTCTTCGCGAGCGTTTCCGCGTATTTAGCGGTAGAGAGATGGATGGAGCCACCGGACTGGGTGATGTTGAGACCCAGGAAATGCGTCACATTGTGATTGACCGTCACCTCAAGCTTCTCTTTAATTTCTTCTTTGAAACGGTCCAGCAGTTCGATGTTGTCGCCGTTGTAGAGAAGTTCGTCGACGTAGGCGACGAGAAGGATGAAATTGCCACGCGACTCCCTTCGGTACATCCCTTGGTCGTGTGGTAGCTGAACGAAGCCTAGCTCCGTCAGGACGTTGTGCATATATTGCTGCCAGAGGCGAGGTGCTTGCTTGATGCCGTAGAGGGATTTTTGGAGACGGCAAACAGCGTTGTCGCTTTCTTCGAGCGCGTGGGATTGCTCAACGAAAATGATGGCGTCGACGGGTGTGTAGAGAAATGCACTTCCAACGTCGATTTGCCTAAGTGGTCGCTGCTTGACGGCCGCGATGCAGATGAGAATGCGGACGGAGGTGTGTCCTCCGATGGGGGCAAAGGTCTGATCATAGTCCACGAGGTGAGTCTGTTCGAAGCCGCGCACCACCCACCGTGCTTTATATTTGTCGATTGAGCCATCTGCGAGGGTCTTAATTCTGAAGACCCATTTTCCGCTAAGAATTTTCCTCCCCTTTGCAGATGATCGTGGAACCAGCTTCCAGGTTCCGCGGCGCTTTAATGTTGCTACTTCTGCCGCCATGGCTGCCTTCCATTTCTCGCTGTCGGTTCCAGACAGAGCTTGTCGCACGGTGGTAGGTTCTTTGGGCGAACCGCGACTGCGAGGCCAAGAACACGGAGACCGGTTTCGTTGGTCTTTTCGTAGTGGAGGCGATCGTAGTCGTGGAAGCTGGTAACTTCGACAACATCGTCATCACTGTCGTGGCCGGTGCGAACGGTATTTTGCGAGGCATTTGAAGCTGGCAACGCGGCACCCGGAGATCGGCGCGCTTCGCTGTTATAGTTGTGGGCTTCTCGAGTTATATCATCAGGATCGAATTGGGAGACAGGTATGAAGGTTGGAGTATTGAAGGGGCGTGTAAGGGGGATGCTGGGGGCGGTGTCATATTGCGTGAATTCTGCTGCGTCAGTGTCTTCTGCCAGGTCAGCCTCATCGTGTGGTGTGGCAAAGCTGCGGTGGCCCTCGAAAACCCTTTCTGGTTCCTTGTCAGCTTCGCGGTGTTCCTTGAACAGTGGCAAGGTCAGCTTCTCGTAAAAGATACAGTGACGTGATTTCGTCACTTCATGTGTCGCGTAGTTCAGCACAATCCATGCCTTGTACTCCTTTTCGATCCTGATGTGAATGCCCCATCGTGCCCGATCCGAAAACTTTCCGGTCCTTGCTGTGTGCGGCCTGTACTGTACCATGCAGCCGAAGACCCGAAGGAGACGTGTGTTAGCTTTCCTACCCGTCCAAGCTTTGTAAGGAGAGTTGTTGTTCTTGAGACTTCGGGAGGACAGCAAGTTGTGCAGCCGAACAGCGTGGTTCATCGCAAACGGCCAATACCGGGTAGGGATGGCCGACTGCTTCATCAGGGCCCTCATCCTTGTGGCGCGGCTCTTGTTTGTCCGTTCTGCTACGCCTTGCTGCTCGTGAGCGTAGGGCAGGGACACCAGGTGCTAATTCCTCGTCTTGGTGAAGAGGTCATTGAACTTAGTGGAGAAGAACTCTGCTCCTCCGTCTGTCTGGAAGCTTTTCAAATTCAATCCAGATTGACGTTCAGCTCACTTCATCCAAGTCAAGAAGCATTCGAAGGCAAGAGAGCGGAAATCAGTGTTGACAGCCCAAACGTAGCGTGTGCAAGCGTCGATGAAGGTTAGTGTGTACTGTTCGCCGTCAAGTCCTTCCTGACTGAGAACCATGAAATCGCTGTAGACCTTGTCGAGCGGTTCGTAGCGTTCGTAACTAGGGGGTAGGTCTGGGAAGGGCTTGTGGGCGAGTGACGTGGTAGGGCACATGAGGCACGGTGGGTTATCCGAAGAGGCAGTGAGAGTACCGCCTCCGGTCAACAGCAGGGCTTGTGGGCATGTACTCTGAGGGGTACATTCCCTTATTGCAACTGTATTGCATAACTACAGTAACTGCGACTGTTGGCGTTCTTTGGCAGTTACATGGTTGCATTGCGTAACCTCTCGTAACCTCTGATGCGGTTGTCGGTTGGTCAACAGTCACGACTGTTGACTTTCGGTGACTGTTGACCTTCGGGTGGCTCTCGAGCTGCTGGATGCTCTATACGAGCATGTAGCGATACTGGTGTAGTAGCATTGCTTCGTTATGAGATGATGCTCTAGGAAAGAACCTTCGGGAATGCTGCAATAACCTTTCGGTTATTCCAACAGCGCGAAGATGGGCGAGGAAACGCGGCAAAGGGAAGCCCGACGAGGGGAGGAGCTCGATGAGGGAAGGGGAGGCGTGACTTCTTGAGCCACACAGAGGTGCATGGGCAGGCGTGGTGAGGTGGCTTCACTCACCCTCGTGACCACAATGAGTTGATGCGGATTTCATGCTGCGATATGTGTCGGGATGATTTCTTCTAATGAGGTCGGGCTTACACACTTGAGTGGTTTTTCCTCATTCAGTTGGGTTGGTTTGTTACACGCTCCAACCAATGTTGAGTGACGAATACACAGTCTCCTCGTTGCCTAATCTCGCTTTCGCCGCGCCCATATTCCCGAAATGAACCTTTTTGCCTTTCGTCAATACCGTTAAAGCCCTTCAATAATTTTGGTAAAAACCATGCTGCCTTCGGGCTTTAATCGGAGTGATGCTGCTTGGACCGCAGGTGGCGGTGGTGCAATTGGGGGGATTAAAAATTGGCAGACGGTTGGTGTACATTGTACTCGCTAGTGCAATCCTCGCTATCTCGTTCCACTCACTCTTAACGCTGGCATTTTCAGGGAGCGGAACCTTCGTCGATCCCTATTTCTCAGGGAAACTGGCCATTTTCTCATCCGCCGCACCATGCGGCCTCGAGGTCCCGCACCATGCGGGGTATCAGTGATTCGGGGCAATCACATCTTGCCCTGAAAAAAACTTGTCTCGGTCTTTCTCACCCGTCTTCGTGCCCGCTGGAAAATCGCACATCACCAACACACCGTCACTAACACATCGATGGACTGAACCCATCGACGGGCTAAACCCATTTTTTTAGACGTTTCCAGCTGGTTTGCAGGGCTGCCCGGGCTGCCAGTACAGTGATTCTGCGCTCCATCAGCGCAGGTGCATACGGGCTTCAGCAAAGTGTCATTTCCGGTTGATGCCATCAATCGTGGCCCATTTAATGCCAACCGGACGCTCGGGCCCATTTTTCCGAGGTTTCACTGCAGCTACAGTCTGTTTTCGAGTCTTTTTCTTGGGGGCCATTTTTTGGGGGCCCGTTAAAAATGCCCATATAATGGCGATAATGACCATAATGCCTGCCTAACGGGGCCCAGGTTGGCTTTCGTGGTGATGGGCGAGCGATGTGTGCCAAGCGTGTCACGAAATTCGTGTGGCCCTGTTGGCGAATCCGTAGAGGGTTCGACAAGGTTGAGAGCGAAATCGCAATACAGACTGCACATGCAGTTACCGCGATGTCGCGCGTGTTTGCGAGTCCCTGCGCGGTGATCATCGCGTCAAGTTTCTCTCGTTTCAGAACTTGACACGGTTACCGTGAAAAGCAAGTTAACGGCCCAAATTGACCTGACCTGTGGGATGAGTGTGACCCGCCCTAGGAGAGAGCGGCAATCACGCCAGAGGAGTCGCTGCAGCTCCAGCCAGCAGGCGCACCATCGCGCGACCTGCGCGGCTGGCACCTTGGTTTCCCAGGCTGGGTGGTCGTGCAACTTCGGAACCCCCAGCTCGCGACGATAAATCCTACCCATGCAGGTTTGGTGGCGTGGAAGAAAAGGTTGGAGGTAGCGAGCCCGAACATACCCCGCGAAGCCCCTAATCTGGCCACCCCTATCTCCGTCCTCGCCACGCCGTCGTTGCCGTTTCCGTCGCCAATGGACAACGGCAACAACACGTCGCCAATGGACAACGGCAACAACACGTCGCTGGGCGGCATGCTCTCGCAGCTGCGACTCGTGGCTGCCGTTGAGGCAACACGGGCGGCAGAACAGGTGAGGAGTTATTATGGACGCGCCCCCCTGTTTGCCAGTCGCGTGTTGCTGTGCTGACGTGGCGCGTGCCGAACACACACTGCTCGCAGGTGATTCTTCCAAGAGACTTTATCCTGACCATTCCGCATCCAGACAACTCTTCTCGCCCGTCCCCAACCTACAGCGCGACCCCGTTCTCCTCACAGCATTCCGTTAAAGTCACCATTCGGTTGTTGTCCGTTGGCCACGTGGACATCCGCCCTGCATACCACTCCACCTGTGAGATTTGGCCACGTGGATATCATGCAGTGTGGGAGGACCCGTTAGGGGGGCTGTGCCATAGCGAGGTGGTGCAGGGGGGGAGCGAGGGCGAGGGCGAGGGCGAGGGCGAGGGGCGTGGGCACGGGGTGGGGGGGGTTGGGAAGGAGGGCGGGAGTGAGGGGCCGGTTTTTCGAGTCTGGAGGGAGGATGCACGGAAGGGAGGCAGGGAGGAGGGATGGGGGATGGAGAGGCGGGAGAGGGCAATGGGTGGGGAAGAGGGGGAGAATGAGAGTGAGGGAGGGGAGGGCGCTATGGAGGAGGACGTGCAAGCGCTGCTGTGGGATGGGAGGAATGCGGCAGAGGTGGGGGGGTGGTGGGCAGGGGGTGTCTTATTGGCGGAGGGAGCGCATGGGCGGAAGGTGGATGGGGGGGAAGGAGAGGGGGGGATGGGCGGGGAGAGTGTGAGGAGAGCTGATATGGAGGGAGGAGGGGCTAGCATTGACACACGCTCCAACTCTGAATGTAAGGTTCGGATGGTGTGTGAAGGGCAAACGAGTCAGCAGGCTTGGGAGAGGTTCGGAAGGGAGTGGTGGGAGCAGCTAGGTCCGTCATGGATGGAGCGGGCTGGGCAGAGCAGGGCGGAGGCGAGGGGGAAGAGTGGAGGGAAGAGTGCAAGGCAGGGAGGAGGCGAGGTGGAGGATGGAGAGAGTGGTTCCCATGTGGGCGTTGGGGGCGTGCATGAAAGGGAGCAAGGGGAGGGAGTGGGAGCAGAGTATGCAGGGTGGGAGGTGGAGCGGGTGCGCGAGCTGCTGCTGCTGGACAAGTACGCGCTCACCCACCCGCCCGTGCTGGCCCTGATAGAGGGGCAGAGCGGTGCAGAGCGGTGCGCAGGGTACGAGTTCAGGGAGGAGCGGTGGTGGAAGGAGCAGGTGCAGAGGGAGCAGGAGAGGCAAGCGAGGGGAGGCCGTGGGACGCAGGGAGAGCAGCACGAGGGGGGGGAGCTAAGGAGGGATGGGCAAGAGGAGGAGGGGCAAGGGGGAGGAGGAGGGGGAGAGACAGTGGACAAGGCTGTGGATGAGGCGCCGTCAGTATCGCCTCCTACAGCACTGCCAGCACTGCCAGCACTGCCAGCACTGCCTGCGCTCTCCCGCGCTGACATGCTGCGCCTCATTGAGGTGTGTGCTGCCGCTGCCCCTCAGCTCACTGCGGGCCTCTCGTCTCTGCTGCGTCTGTTCTGACTTGTATGCAGCAGGATTGACTCCGTCCTCTGCCTGGAATCGCCTCTCATTCGTCCCTTCCCTGTGCGCATCGTGCCTTAACTCACCCCTCTACCTCTTTTCCAACTCTTCCCCCTCTCCATCGCCCTACCGCCTGCCCGTCCACCACCTGCAGGTGCACCACGTGCTGCACTCCTTCCTGCCCTGCCTACCGCCGCCTTCCCCCCATTCCCCCCCCCTGCCCGCGCTCTCCCTCCCCACCCTCGCCCACCACCTCGCCTGCCCGTCCACCCATCCGCCTGCAGCACGCGCAGGGGCGTCAGCTGGTGCAGCGAGTGCAGGCAGCGCTCTCACTGCTGCCGTGCGTGAGCCATCGCTCCTGCTGGCCCACCTGCACATGGCGCTGCTGCACCTGCTGCTGCCCGCCGCCATGTTTGCGGTGGCGGCACGCGAGGTGATCGGCGGGCGGGAGAGGGAGGTCAGAGGGAAGGAGAGGGAAGCAGCCGAAACCGAAGCGAGAGTTGGTGTTGTGAGCGGTGGTAACGGTGCTACCTCTGCTACCTCTCCTCCTGCTTCCCTGACAGGCGAGGTCATGGGCTTGAGTGCTGCTGGTGTGAGTGATGCCAGCTCCGACCTGCTGATGTGTCCCATTGATGAGCTGACGTGGCCTGAGGTGGCATGCAGAGTGCTTACTGTGAGCACTGTATTGCTGCAGGAAGAGAGAAAAGAGCGGAGGGCGCATGGAGGGGATGAAAGAGATGGGAGGCGAGGGACAAGGGGAGGGGGGAGGCGAGGGAGAGGGGCAAGCAAGGGGGGCAAAGCGCATGGGGAGGAGGAGGTGGGCCGAGGCAGTGGCAGGGATGACGGGAGGCGAGGGGTGGGGGGAGCAGGGGGCCAGGGAGGGGTGTGCGGGCGCAGCCCGTGGGAGCAGGGGCGGCTGACGCGGTGCATCGCTGGCGATGGCGGGCCGCTGCTGGGGCACTGGCTGGGCACTCCTGGTGCCATGCAGGATGCTGCTGTGAGTGCAGCACGCTGCTGAGAGTGCGTTCCACTGTTTCAGTGTTTTTTTCTTTCGCTATGGAGGGTGGCGTTTTAGGTGAAAATCAGGAGAACACCCTTTTGGGTCGAATGTTACAATAGGAGAGATGTACGGCCAACCACTTGATGCGGTTACTCACTCACACCAATGACAGCACAGCACCTTATTGTGTTGGCCAACCACCTTGTATGCTATGGCTGTAGATCCGTTGACCATTTTTTTCACATTCTTGATTATGCCCATGTGCTTTTGTGCCCATGTGCCTGTGTGACCATGTGCCCGTGTGCCCATGTGCCCGTGTGACCATGTGCCTGTGTGACCATGTGCCTGTGTGACCATGTGCCTGTGTGACCATGTGCCTGTGTGACCATGTGCCTGTGTGACCTGACCATGTGCCTGTGTGACCATGTGCCTGTGTGACCATGTGCCTGTGTGACCATGTGCCTGTGTGACCATGTGCCTGTGTGACCATGTGCCTGTGTGACCATGTGCCTGTGTGCCCATGTGCCTGTGTGACCATGTGCCTGTGTGACCATGTGCCTGTGTGACCATGTGCCTGTGTGACCATGTGCCTGTGTGATTATGTGCCTGTGTGACCATGTGCCTGTGTGACCATGTGCCTGTGTGACCATGTGCCTGTGTGACCATGTGCCTGTGTGACCATGTGCCTGTGTGACCATGTGCCTGTGTGACCATGTGCCTGTGTGACCATGTGCCTGTGTGACCATGTGCCTGTGTGACCATGTGCCTGTCTGACCATGTGCCTGTGTGCCCATGTGCCTGTGTGACCATGTGCCTGTGTGACCATGTGCCTGTCTGACCATGTGCCCGTGTGACCATGTGCCTGTGTGGCCATGTGCCCGTGTGACCATGTGCCTGTGTGACCATGTGCCTGTGTGCCCATTCTCAAATATGTTCGTGTGTTGCGTGGCAGGCCCTGGCAGCAGCGGAGAAGCAGCTTGCGCTGGTGGCCGCGTCCCAGCTGCACGCCACTGCTGCCTCCACTGCTGCTGCCGCCTCTGCTGCGCCTGGAGGCGTGGCGGCAGGAGGGCTTGTCATTGCCTCAGGCAAGGGCAAAGGGGGGAAGGGGACGGCTGCAGGAGCAGCGGGTGAAGATCAGGGAGGGAAGGAGGCAGCGGCGGCGGCAGCGGCCGAGGAGAGTGAGAGCAGTGCGAGCCGTGCTGCGAGTGGCGCTGTGCTGCAGGCGCTAGCGGTGGTGAAGGAGGAGTCGGGCAGCGACGCTGCCAGCGCTGCTCACGGTGCTGCTGGGGGTCTCGCTAGCGGCGCTGCTCGTGGGGAGCGGGCAGCAGCAGGGCAGGGCGCAGGCCGTGCGGGGGAGGTGGCAGCTGGTGAGAGCGTGGCTGTGTTGCGCGCATGGGTGGTGTGGATGCACGGGGTGTGCTTGTGTGTGCATGGGGTGTGCTTGTGTGTGCATGGGGTGTGCTTGTGTGTGCATGGGGTGTGCTTGTGTGTGCATGGGGTGTGCTTGTGTGTGCATGGGGTGTGCTTGTGTGTGCATGGGGTGTGCTTGTGTGTGCATGGGGTGTGCTTGTGTGTGCATGGGGTGTGCTTGTGTGTGCATGGGGTGTGCTTGTGAGTGCATGGGGTGTGCTTGTGTGTGCATGGGGTGTGCTTGTGTGTGCATGGGGTGTGCTTGTGTGTGCATGGGGTGTGCTTGTGTGTGCATGGGGTGTGCTTGTGTGTGCATGGGGTGTGCTTGTGTGTGCATGGGGTGTGCTTGTGTGTGCATGGGGTGTGCTTGTGTGTGCATGGGATGTGCTTGTGTGTGCATGCGGTGTGCTTGTGTGTGCATGGGGTGTGCTTGTGTGTGCATGGGGTGTGCTTGTGTGTGCATGGGGATGGATGCATGGGGTGTGCTTGTGTGTGCATGGGGTGTGCTTGTGTGTGCATGGGGTGTGCTTGTGTGTGCATGGGGGGTGTGCTTGTGTGTGCATGGGGATGGATGCATGGGGTGTGCTTGTGTGTGCATGGGGGTTGTGCTTGTGTGTGCATGGGGACGGATGCATGGGGTGTGCTTGTGTGTGCATGGGGGGTGTGCTTGTGTGTGCATGGGGATGGATGCATGGGGATGGATGCATGGGGATGGATGCATAGGGATGGATGCATGGGGATGGATGCATGGGGATGGATGCATGGGGATGGATGCTGTGGGAAATAAAGTTTGAAGAGAAAAGGATGATTGCCCAAGGAAAGTCTAGGGTTTACATAGTTGGAGAAGAGAGGGGGGGAGGTGGCCAACATTATTGAAGTCCCTCCAATAAGTTGGGTTGGGAATCATTGGAGGGCCTCCAATAATGTTGACCATTGAGTTGGTCAACATTATTGGAGGGGGGGGGGACCAATAATGTTCCCAACCCAACTTTTGGGGGCCAACAATTTGGGCGAAAGGTTGGATCTCAACCCTTAGTGAGGGTTAACCCTAGATATACACCCAACATAAAGTTGGGTGCTTATCTCTACCCGATCTTTATAGCATAACTGCAAGGTTACAACAGAAGAATAATTCTAACACAACCCCTTAATGTGCAGAAACAGAGAAGATCGAAAGAGACAGAGGGCTGGAACCCCTGAATTAAGGAGCGCCAAGAGGAGCAAGTCCGATAAGGCGAAGGAGAGCAGAGTGCGCAGGACGGAGAAGCGCCTTGGTGAAGATGTCGGAGAAGCGCCTTGGCGACAAACTTGCGAACAGAAATGTGTCCATTTTGGACTAAGTCACAGATGAAGTAGTAGCGGAGCTCGATGTGCTTGGAGCGACCGTGAAAAACAGGGTTCTGGGTGAAATGGATGGTGCTGGCATTGTCAGACCAGAGAGTGGGGCAACAATGAGGAGCGCCGAGCTCAGCAAGCAGAAAGCAGAGCCAGTGAGATTCCTGAGCGGCCATGGTGCCGGCGTAGAGCTTAGCTTCACAGGAGGAGAGGGCAATGGCAGAGGAGCGAGTGGAACGCCAGCTGATTAGGTCGCTGCCAAGCGTGAAACCATATCCTTGAGAAGAGCGGCGATCCGGTTGCGAGTCTGCCCAGGAGGAGTCGCTGAAGCCAGTGAGGAGAGGAGAGGAGCCGCCAAGTGTGAGGGCATGGTCCTTGGTTCCGCGGAGGTAGCGGAGAACCTGTTTGGCGGCCGTCCAGTGCTCCTCAGTGTGGCGGTCAGTGCCCACAAACCGAGCAAGGACACTGATAGGATAGGTCAGGTCGGGGCGTGTGCATATCATGACATACATTAGCGACCCGACGAGCTCGGCATAGGGGCAAGAGGAGGAGGGAGAGGTTGGCGGTGCTAGCTGATGACCGAAGGGGAGGGGGGTGAAAACGGGCTTGGCCTGCGCCATCTCGAACTTCTCCAGTATCTGACCAAGGTAGTGAGACTGGGAGAGGGTGATGGTGCGGGCGGTTCGGTCACGAGTGATAGTCATGCCGAGGTAGTTCTGCAGGTCGCCAAAGTCCTTGCACTTGAGGCGTTTTTGCAGCGACCGCTTCACCTGCTCCATGTCGGACTTGGAATCGGCCAGCAGGATCATATCGTCAACGTAGACGAGAATGAAGAGCTGACGGGGCGCGAAGCGGATGAAGAGGCTGGCATCAGAGTGGGACGCAAAGAAACCGAGGGACCATAGAGTGGCGGACAGTTTCGCATGCCATTCCCGTGGTGCCTGCTTCAGACCGTAGGCCGGGCGGCGTAGCTGCCAGACCGTGTTGTCAGGGAAGGCAGCGTGGAAACCGGGGGGGCGCCTCAGGAAGATGCGCTCGTGGAGGTCACCTTGCAGGAAGGCGTTGGAGACATCCATGGAGCATATCTCCATATTGTCGCGTGCTCCTATGTCGAGAAGGGTGCGAAGGGTGGGCGGCTTGGCAGTGGGAGCGAATGTGAACCAGTAATCCTCGGCCCAGGTTTGGGCGAAGCCAACGTAGCGGGCCTTGTAGACTGGTTCCTCTCCCGGCAACTGCTTCACGTGAAAGATCCACTTGCCCTCGACAAGGTTGGCGTCGGGGGGGAGGGGAACGTCGACAAAGGATTCGTTGCGAATGAACGCCTCACATTCCAGCAAGATGGCTGCAATCCACTTGTCACCATCAGGGCAGGTGATTGCTTCCTGGAAGGTGGAGGGGACGAAGATGGTGGGGGCGGATACGGCGCTGAGGACAAGAGCACCGAGGAAGTCAGGATAGAGCGGGGGGAGGGAGGGAGTGTGCTATTGGACCGTGATAAACTCTTCGTGGGAATCCTCAAGGAGGTTGAGGGAGGCAGTGGACGGGGTGTCAAGGATGGGATCAAGGGAGCGACTATGCATGCGGGGGAGGAGGAAGGGTGAAGAGCGGGCAGTAGCTCTCCGCTGCTGCTGCTGCTGATGCTGCTGGAGCCCTTGCTGCTGCTGCTGCTGCTGCCGCTGTGCGGATGGGTGCCCCGACTGCTGTTCCTTTCCTGTGAGTGCAGCTGCTACTCCTGCTGAGCTGACGGCTGCCCCTGCTGCTGCTGTCCCTGCTGCTGCCCCTGCTGCTGCTGCTGCTGCTGCTGCTGCTGCTGCTGCTGCTGCTGCTGCTGCTGCGGCTGCTGCTGTTGCTGCTGCTGCTGTTGAGGCAGTTCCGGCTGTGGAGGAGGAGGGGAGGAGGAGGGGAGGAGGGGGGGAGAAGGGGGGGCAGTGAAGTGGGCCGGTGAAGCAGGTGTAGTAGGATCGTAGATGTCAGCCGACGAGGGCGGAGGGAGTGGGGCAGGGAGAGGCGGGAGGAGGGGTGCAGGAGGGAGGAGGGGAGGGAGGACGGTGTCAGTCCAAGTGAAGGGACGGGAAGGGGGGGAAGGGGGTCAGGTGGAGGGGTGGAGTTGTAAGGGATAGACTCGTCGAAGACAACGTCAATGCTGCGGATGAGGCGTCTTGAGGGAGGGTGGAGGAAAAGGTAGCCGAGTGAGTCGCGGTTGTGACCGAGGTAGACACACTCTAGGGCACGAGAGGCGAGCTTGCCTTTGGTGCGATCAGGAGGAGGAATAAGGACGTATGCATTGCAGCCCCAAACACGAAGGCCTGCGACGTCAGGTTTGGTGCCTGACCAGAGTTTCGTGGAGGTGGTGGTTATGTGTTGGGGATGGGAGTGAAGGTTGAGGAGGAGGGCAGCATGTAGTAGGGCATAGCGACAGAGGGAGGGGGGGTGGAGGCGTGAGCAAGGAGGCAGTGAGCGATTTTAGTGATTTCGCGAATGTAGCTCTCTGCGACACCATTCTGCTGTGGGGAGTGGGGAAGGGTGTGAGTGTTGGATGCCAAAAAGTGGCGCAGTAGGAAGAGAGAGTGTGATTGAGGAATTCGCCCCCACCGTCTGAGTGAAGGCGGGCGTTTGAAGTGGGTGCGGCACTGTTCAGCCCAGTCAATGATCACAGTTGGTGCCTGGTCCTTTGTGTCTATGTTGCACCTGACGCCCTCGCAGGGCAGCGTCCAGCGTCCGGACGTGACCGTCCGGACGCTGGACGCGTCAAATAGGTTTGACGCTGGACGTTCGGGAAAAAAAAAAATCGGGCAGCCTGGAAAAAAAATCCCCGCACGAAATTGACTCGCGATTTCATCGCGACCAGAATCGCATTGAAATCGCCAACTGTGGGTTGGGTTTTTGAGCTACAAAAATGCAACCCACATTTATTACCCCCAACACATTTGTACCCATCCATATCCATTACACATATCTGTTTCTCTTGACACTGCCTAGCATACCTATCCCTAGATTCCGCCAATCACGCTACTTAGGCTTCCTAGTTCAATTTAGGTTAAGGCGACTTAGTTATAATGTCGTCTCCTAGTGGTGCGGATCCATCGGGTAGTGGCTCCACACCTTCTGCAGGTGGTGTCGGGTCAAAAAGCAATTATTACGAAATGCCTAATCATCCCGTTTACGAGCATTATTTATTTTACGTGAACTTGATGCATCCTAACACCTGTGTAGCCTTATTAGGCGACTGTGTTTTACCCCTGCACGGGGAAAGTTTTTCCCTGCCCGGACTAGCGTCAAGCGGGCGTCCAGGGCAGAGGAAACCGGGCGTCCGCGTCCAGACGCCAGCGTCAAAAACGCTGGACGCGTCAAGTGCAACATAGCTTTGTGTGGAGGAAGAAGATGGAGGAGTAGCGGCTGTGGTCGTCAACTAGGACGAGCATGTAGCGATGGCCCTGACGTGAGTGGGTGGGGGAAGGACCTCATAAGTCCACATGGATGATGTCAAGTGGGGCAGATGCGAAAGAGGGATGAGTGTGATGTGGAGACTGTTTGAGTTTGCCGTGAATGCAGGAGGGGCAGGGGGGAGCCGGAGAGGAAGGGAGGGGAGGAAGAGTGGGAGGGAGACTGTTGAGGAGACGAG